TTCAATGTTACGAAATGCAACATTCTGAGGATTGGCAGAACCAGCTCTGTGCACCGGCAGACGTACTATCTAAATCACACACCGCTGTCAGTGGCAGAGGTTCAGAAGGATCTAGGTGTATGGATAACATCTCCACTAAAGCCATCATTCCACTGCTTAAAAGCAGCGAAATCCGCAATGTCCAGCTTATATCTCATCAAGCGGGCATTTGCGAAGTTTGACAAAGGGTGCTTTTGCAGGGTCTTCGGGATGTTTGTGCGCCCACAGTTAGAATTGGCCATTCAGGTCTGGAGACCCTGTTCAGTCAAACAGAGTACCACCCTCGAAAAAATGCAACGGCGGGCAACCAAGCTCGTCAAAGGTCAAAAAACCTACCTTACGAAACTAGACTGTCCAATCTTGACCTCTTTCCCCTAGACTATAGACAACTACATGGCGACTTAATTCAAACGTTTCGAATGCTACGGGGTCGGGATTGCTGCCTCGCATTCGGCGACTTCTTCGACCTGGCCACCACTACTAGCTTGAGAGGACATCCTCTGAAACTACGAGACTGGACACAAGAAGATCCATCTTCAGCCACAGAGTGATAAAGGCATGGAATGCTCTGCTCGTGGACGTCGTCATGTCACTATCCGTGGACACATTTAAGAGGAAGTTTGACCAGTACAGGGATATGCATCACCACGGCATCAAAAACTAACAGATTTCCCCCTGTACCATCGCCCCAAATCTTTGCCTTATAAAGCATGCTACTCCCTGTATTTATGGCTTTCTGTTATCTCCTGGGCGAAGCATTTACGTTTGCTTCGATATTACTTGGTCCATTCAGTACCGCGTACTGTTTATTGTACAATTTTGACATAGAAGGCATTCACAGACAATTTTATACCAGTAACCAATACTTATTATAGGTAATTACTTACTTAGTATTCTTTGACACTAGCCTTATACATTGTTTTTATAATGTTATTTCAACCAAAAGGGAGTTCAAAGGCGCTTGCCTATCTTTCCTTTAATAAATCTGATCTGATCTGATCTGATTCTTCCATAACTTATTTCTTGTTGGTGGTACCACTGTTTCATACTCCCAACCCCCTTTTTCTACGATGTTCGTCCGCATGTGCATGACAGCCTATTTAACGACTCGGTTCAGCCCACTCTTAGTCGGGAATTCCCCCGAAGTTATCTACATAACCCAGTGTACGTCTGTGCCACCCTCAACATCTTCGGCCGCTGCGGTGCAACACCACCCCGCTCCCATGACGACGATCTATCAGATGGAATGGGTAAAGGTAGGGCATGAAAGCAGAGCAACTCACTTGTAAGGCAATATCGCCTCCTTGGGAAGAGCGTAGACGGAAACGTTAGAGTTCCGGTTGAAGTAGTAAAACTGGCCAGTCTTACTGCTCTTCACTTCAATCCAGGGAGCTTAGAGAAAGAACGTACACAGCCGTAAGATGCAGTGCTTCAACACGAAGTGGGTAGTAGAGGCAAAAAACAAGCAACCACAAGGAAAGTCTGTCGTCCGCCGACCTCGGCGAGAATCACCGCTATCCTGGACTTGAGCAGTAGTGACCTGGACAGCATAAACCTCTACCGTTCCCACATTCACTATGTCCCATCGGCATACTCCAATGGTATGCTATTGATAGGACCAGGGTTAGGTGGACTGTAGATATGATTTGGAGCTGTGGAGGACCAAGCACTTCGGTCACGTGGCTTACGTGTGCTGATCACTCACTGACACTACCTACGATTCACGCAGCACTTGTCAGATAACAAAGAGTTTGGTTTCTCCTTTAAGGTCTGACGCAACAGCGCAACTTGTGTCTGAGAACCCTCATATTAAGGGAAATGAAAAAAACGCACCGGCAAGGTGGGTGGCGAGGTACAGTGTCCATGGAATGCATGCAGAGTCATTCACTGTGGGCACCATGGGTCCCGGTTGCAGCCGATCCTTGCACGACATCACAGGAAGGCTAGCGAAGAGCAAAAGTGGGAAGGGTTTCAGGATGTCGAAGGGCGGTGTTAAGACAGCAAACTGCACTGAACACTAGTAGAGGTGCGCGCACCGATCGCACTCCGGAACTCACTCGTCTCGTTGTGTCTTGGGGCTCTCTCTCTCGAGTCCCGCCAGGGGCCGCAGTGGAGCACATAATATAGATAAACTAGCATTACCGACAAAGATGAGGGAGACTGGAATGATCTGCGGAGACTGGGATGGCCGTTTCTGGCCTACTAGCCATCATCAGCCAGCCATACCCAGTCCCGGGATCGTTGCGCGTCCATCTACCATTGTTAATATGTCCGATCGAAACGGACAGGACGACTGGCCCCTGGCTCAGTGGTTAGGGAGTTAGACTTCTAGGCAACAGGTCGCAAGTTAGAGCCTCAGGGGCTGCATACCTCTGAGTTGGGGTTCGCTGGCCGATGACAGCTAACGAGCCAGAAGTGGCCATTCCAGTCTTTCTTGCCTTTGTCGGCGATGTTATTCTGCATTTAAAAAGCCGAGCCACTGGGTAGATCGTAAATTGCTATCTACGCAGAGCAATTGGTCCTACCGATGGACAAAAATGGCATAGCCACAGAGTCAACGATCCCAAATGATGCATACCCCTTAATAAAGGCGTCAAGGTCACGGAGAGCCACCAGAGGGGGAACAATGAGGTTGGACTGGTCCATGCCGTCGAAGTTAACGATGCGGGCCACCCCAGCGGCGTAGTCCATTCTACAAAAAGAGACACGGAGGAGTAAGCAGTCAGAAAGGACAATTCGTTTGCTTGAAAGAAAGCAGGGACTGAAAATAAAAAATGCCAACTCAATGTGACCACTAGAAACAGACGGAAAAATCCGTGCCTCGCAAGTGCTGATGGACTGGAATTGACCCTGTTAATGCATGGTCAAAGTAGATGAAAATTGTTGGCGGAAATTTCGAGGGGAAGATGCGAAGGACCACTGGTTAATGGTCCTTTTCCGGGCTAGGGAAAGGAAATGCCCAAATGTGTTTGTGAAATTCCGAAAAATTGGCTTTTATACCTCTGGCGATAGGACAGGGATCGTAAATCTTTCCCGTAAAGACAGGCAACGTCGAGGACTGTCAGGCTGAATCTTCGAAGACCAGTCTGTGAAAAGTGCAAATTAGAAAAGATTCAGAAGATGATGAGAATATGGCAAGTATTCACACAGAAAGATAAGCAATCTCCCCACTTATTGAGGCGAAAGTTCTAGAAGCTCAAAACGTCTCTAGAAATCGGAGCACGGACTCGTACCCTGTTTGCCGTAAAGGCTTAGTCAAAACCTGCCATTTGCTACAGCTAGGATTCAACCTGTTGCATTAGGGTTTACATGATTAGCTTAATACATATGCCACACAATGGCAGACGCCAGTTACAGGACAGCAGAGGTAGCACGGTGTTGTTGGAACCGGACAAAAATGTGCGATAATGGTGGTGGAGGTGGTGATGATGATGAGGATGATGATGATGGTGGTGGTGGTGTGTGTGTTGTGTGGAATGGCGGACTGGTGGGCTGGGGACGGGCTGAAACAGCACCTTCCACGGCCCTCTCAAGCAAGTGAGAGACACGCTGTACAACCCCCGTTGTGTGAAATCCTGGTGTTTGTGTGTGTATGGGGGGCCAGGTCGTGCTGTGGCGCGCGCAGGCATGGTCAGTCGACCGTGTCAGCCACCGCGCCCATTCCCCACTCCAGTTTGCCGACCGGCTCGGACGGCGGCTGGGGTGTGGGAATGGGAAGGGAGAGTGAGGTCGACGACTCAGCGCACTTTCCTCACTATAATCAATCTGACGCGCTTGAAGCTATCACGGTGCGCTAAAGGCTGTGGCTTGAAAGGTTGCCAACTGACGGGGTAACTTGGACCTCCTCCTTAACTGGAGGCGGTCTGAGAGTCAGCTGCAATGGCTCCTTTTTAATGTGGCCTTTATGGTACTCCCACCACAGTGTGGGATCCGAGCCAGGCGTCGGCGGCACGCCCATGCGCGGCTTCGGTCGTGCCAGCCTCCAAATCTTTGTTGTTGGTTGAAATCCTGGTTATTGTTGTGTGGACCAGGGAGTGTGGTGGAACGTCAAGGTGAGGATCCGTCCGAGCCATCCACCTGCGGCCTCCCTCGTCTCCGGTCTTCTGGACTCTGTCTTGACACCGGGCTCGGGCGAGGGAGGAGGATAGAGTGTAGGTAGATGCCACGCAAGTCTACTGGCACTATAAACCCCTGCGTAAGTCACCGTCCCTGCTCCCACTGCTGCTGCAACTGTGGGGCACACGGTGGACATCGTCGAAATCGATGGTCGAACTGTCGGTGATAGTGGTGGTGGTGGTGGTGGTGGTGGTCGTCGTCGTCGTTGTGGTGACGACGATGATGATGGTTTTGGCAGCAGCGACAACCGCAGCAGCGGCAGCGGCAGTAGCGGTAGTGCTGATAGTGCCCATCACTTCTGCCTTCGCCGTCGTGCTCGTACTGGCGACTTCATTCACCATTGACGATTGGTCGGGAAAAATGGGCCTGTCTGTTGTCTTGACGGCTGGCAATCCAGCAAGTCAACAAATAGCGGATAATGAGACGGCCTTCAGTCAAGGTCAGCTGCAAAATAGGGAGAATTGCGCCTGACGCGAATGGGCATTCCTAGACCAGCAGTGGTAACGCTACCGGGACCCAGAGAGTTAGGCCTGAGTAAACAGACAGTCCCGTTAAATGCATCTGTGTCCGATAACGGCATCGTGAAATGACGATAATGAACCGACGGAATGTGGGTATATCTTGTTAGCGCGATGCTTTTTAGGTTGAATATCCCTCCAAAGGCCGAGTTGAGGACTAGGAAACCAAACTAGAAAGGCGTATTCCTATACATACAAAAATCTGTCGCAGTAAAGGAGGAAGTCAGATGCAAAGAGGTTGCCGATCGGCCATCCGCTTGGAGACGGGGGACGTACTTTATGGGTTTTCTCGCCGACAAATAGACAATGAAAACCGCTAGCGGGTGGTCCAATTCACCCGACCGTGCTGACTGACACAAAGAGTCTTGCTGAAAATAAAAAGCCTTTTACGCCGGCATCCTTCGGCCGTCGGTAACAGTGCATGTCCCAACTAATGCAGGAGAGGGAGGAGGGCCAAGAAGATATGTTAGAACACACACTGTCCGGAACGTACGCGTGGTTGGGCACTGAAGTTGGATACGCATGCTGTAGGCTCCAGGGGCAATGATTGATACTAGGGTTAAGGCTAGTATTAAGGCTAGCTGTAAAGGGGCCAGTGTGAAGGTTAGGGCTAAATTTAGGACAAGAAATGGATACTACTCCTAGAATTTAGTATGAAGTCCATATTTCAGCGTCTGCAGTATCTGCCGCACTCCTCTTCTCCCACCTGGGTCCGGTGTCACGACAGAGTCAAGCAGACTGGAGGCGGCAGAGGCTGCAGGTGGCCAGCGTGGCGTGAGCTGGCGCCTGGGCGTGCCCCAACACCCCTGGTTCATCGCGCACAACAACAACAACAAGGGAGGGCGAGGGAGGCTCGGATTCCAACTTATAAGGAGCAAAATCCAAAAGCAATAAAAATGAGGGAACAGGAGAATTGAAACCAACCTTTTGATTGTATTCGAAAGTAACGATACCCCACAAAAGACTCGCTGCCGGAATACGAGGATTCAGGTTAGGGAACTTGGAAGAGAGCCCCTGCCATGTCTTCCCATCGTAAGTGAACTCGATATCCACCCCCTAAACACAGAAGGATGATTGAAAAGGTCATCGGCATTTGTAGACGAGAATAAAATGACTTTTCGGCTAATCTGCTGTCGCTAGCCAGTCACAGGTCAAAAGGAGTCCGGAAAGATCTAAACATGGGATGTGTTAAGCAGCCACCTACTAGAGGTCTGGACTGGAGTTGAAGGACAAAACAGAATCCCCCTAATTTCCGTTCTCTAGCAAGTCTGGTCGGTAAATGCCATGCCCACGTGACAGAAGGACAAACTGACGAAAGAATGCCGTGAAAGTTAGCGACGAATGATTTCCAAAGAACCTACAGGTAACTGAAACAAGGCCAGGAGACCGCTGTCTCACCCAAATAGAAAAAATATCAATATTGGACGTAAAACAAGCGCTTTGATTTTCTGGTAACTTACTGACTTTCACAAGGGATCATGCTAACGACATTTTGACCGTTCTTGGCGACCATGTCCCAAGAGTACTCCGCGGTAGAATAAAAGCATGGACGGTGACTTACGTGTGAATTAGTTTACAGTGATAGTTGACCAGCAGTGTACCTATCACTCTCTCACCCTCCCCCACCTGAATCCGGTGTTAATTTAGTGTCAAGAAGACCGTAGGCGGGAGAGGACGCAGGTGGCTGACATTGCGTAAACCCGCACCTAGACACACCTTGGTTCACGATGGACACCAGAGAATTTAATACAACAACAGGGGACAGCACGGTTCCCAGTTGGCACGGAGCGAACAGGTAACTGGGCGTGCAACCAAACCCCACTGCTAGCATCTGATATGGATGCGTATCCCCGATAACTCCTGCCAGACTTCGATCTAGTCCCTGTGCTGGTCCAGCGCATCTACCGCGTGGTCCGTTGTGGGGGTACTCGACGGCACGACATCTTGACCGTCCATTTCGACGATGTTCACCGTGCGCTCCACAGCGAGGTGGGAGCAGAGACGTTGGCTCGCGCATGAATTAGTTTATAGTGGCAGTGGACTTGCGAAGCACCAACCGCACTCTCTCCTCCCCCACCTGGGCCCGGTGTCATGACCAAGTTAAGAAGACCGGAGGCAGGTGAGGACGCAGGTGGCTGGCACGGCCGGGTCCGCACCTAAGCCTACTACCACAGCCCCCGGTCCACAACAAACGCTTGATCAGCAAAAATGGGGGGGGGGGCGGCAGGGATCCCAACTGGCGCGACGTGAGAGGGCGCCGGACTATGATCTATCCCATGCTGATCCAGCGTGGCCCGTTTTAGGAGAACTGAAGCACATATATACATGCCTACTCACAACGTGCTCCCAACAGACTAAATGCACCAACGGATTAATTTCACATATGAAATTAGGGAAATAACGGATTCAAAAAGCAATAGAACCCATCCCGGGAAAGGAGCCGAACGCCTGAATTGCGATAGAGTACCCTGTCCTCTGAACTACCAGGGTGTATGTCTTTTAATTGAATGACGAGGTCCGCCACTGCCCCACGAGGTGGATACAGTCGTGATTTGAGCACACATGTGTTCATGGTGAAGCCGCCTTGTGCTTCATCTGCCCCATTTCTTCCCCCCACACCCACCGCATTCTGATGACAAAACAAAGTCAATACTGCTGGAAGTTGACGTGGATACAGTGGTTGGCAAAGCTAAACAACCCGTCTACGCGTGCCACACACGGCCTGGCCCTAAACTCTACGCGTAACAGGCTGCATTCAGGGGTACCGGACCTTCCATGAGTGAGGACATCAGGAAGTCCATACGAAGGGGATCATTGTGCTTCGTCTTAAACGAAGACCGAGTTGGCCCGTCAGCTGGCAGCCTTCCAAGTCGTAATAGATCAAAGTGCACCACATTTATCATAAAAAAGAATGTGCTGGTTTTCCGTGAGGAGGGGTTTTTGAAGATTGGCCTCAATATTACGTTGCTCAGCGAGTCTCACTAGACTAGCGATGACATTGGGTGGGAGAAGAGGCTGGCGCAGGCCAATCGTGTGCCACGCACACACGCGTGCGTAAGCGAATACAACAGATCGTGCGTTGTCCCCGAGGTTTACGAAACATCACTGTAGTTTTGGTATGAGTGACTTGTGGCCTTCCTGTGTACGCATATCAACGGAGGAGTGCTTGTTGTGACTGAATATGTGTTCGTTAAGGACGAATTACTGGTGGTATTTGGGCAATCGGCAGTATGTGTGCGCGCTTGGCCGACTAGACCCAATGAAATACTTGAGTGGACGGGTACATTGTGGGCGGGAAGGACGTGCGTGACGAGCTGACCGCGGTCCTGGGGCACTAGTCTTGCAGTCACGGCGTGATAGATTCACAGGTGTCCGACCAGGCCAATGAGTGACTGAAATGTACGGAAGCCATATGAGAAGGTGAACTTACCGTAAGGACAGGTAAGAAAGGTTTCTTTCGTGACGTTGGTGGTGACTTTTTGGGTGGGATTTGGTACTTCTGTTTACACTGCAATGAATTCGAAGACGTCTCACAAGGCCGATCCGAACCTTGAACTAACGCTGACAGTCTAAACATACCGAGGAGGGGGTTGGGCGTCGTCGGCGACGTTGGGACGCAGCGGTATTTCAGTCTTGTGTAGCTGCCATTCCACTCTGGTCTCCACCATTCGGCTGGCACCAAAGACAGTTTTTACGGCTGGCCTACCGGTCCTATGAAGGCCTTTCCTAATCACGAATATGTGAATCCCAGGTTCTTGTTGTAAAGAAGATAAATATGCGATATCTCGGACAGTACGTGTATTAGTCTGAGCTTTCGGTCTCGTACAGGAGGCCATCGTCAGAGACTGTGAGAATGCGGCATCAAATGGGCAGTTTTTGTAGTCCAGTCAGGAAGGGGGGGGATAGGAGTGCTCATGGGACGCTGCATTCTCACAGTCTCTAACGATGGCCTCCTCTATGAGACTGTAAGCTCAGACTAGTACACGTCCTGTTCCAGATATCGCGTGTACATATTCTTTCTTAATCCCTATGGAGACACTTAAGCGAAGTCTCCAAAGTGCCACACAGTGTCGTTCTTGTTCACCCCTTCTTCAGTACCGGTGGTCTGCCCGAGGATGGTGCATAGGGCGACGAAACGGCCCAGAATTCGCCGAATGTCCACACGCTGTTTAACGCAGAGTCGGCGGCAAGGAGCAGGTTTTGTGACGACGAATGCTGAGCAGTTTTCCATCAGTTCAACAGTTTACGTCGATCCCCAGTCAATATTCTCAGTAGGCAGTGCGGATGCTGAGGACGGCTGGGAAGAGATGGCTGCCCTGCTTCGTCGTCGCTGCGAACGTCAGCAAGGCTAATCCACCGTCCGCCAGGTGTCCCAGCATGGAGTTGACGGCCACCATGGTTAGCCGTCCGGGACATCCAAATTTTGTCCCACTGATTTCTATAACTTACAGAGTCAAAAGCCCTAACGAGAGTTCGAAATAGCGCGAGTAATAGCTGCCTCAAATGTCCATGTCGAAGAGATTTTCTCTCTAGTCAAAAAATGGGATGGCAGTTCACGATTCCGGCAAAGAAAGACGACTTCCAAGAGAATCAAAAACAGGCAATAGTAGCGCAGTCTGGCGTGACACCACAAACGCTGTGTACTTACACCTGCATGTGTGCAGATTCATTTGAATGTTGGAGACATAGACATTTGGAACTCCCGGATGGATTCGGGGTATACGGTGTACTTAGGGGGAGGGGATAGGCAATGCGGTACAGACTAGTAGTCCCACCAAATGCCTTGATACACGAGGTGGTTACTTCAGTTTGACCTCATCTGGTTCCCCCCTCCTCGTCTAAAAAGCTGTGGCGAACGCAAAGCACAGATCGCAATAGCTGCCCGGGTTGGCTGGTGGAACCAAATAGGGGTGCTCAAAATGCCTTCTCCACTCGGGTGAATGTGTTTGTAGAGTCTGGTACAGTTATGAGAGAGGGACCAGCCGTGTTGCGGCATCTGTGGGACTGGGGTTTCGTGACGGGCCAGCAACAGCGTCCTAACTCATCACCAGTCAGTTTGATATTGTCTCGCCACTGGAGTGTGAGGTCGGTGATGAGAAAGTGTCCCGCTATAGTACAAGTGACGGAGTATCGGTCGAGACGGGGATCGGGTCACAATGCTCAAGTTGTTACTGTCTCCAGATATAATACTAGGGAGGTAACGTGGCTGGCGTAGGGGACGAGCTAGGGAAATCAAACATTCAGCTTCGTCATTGGTTTTAGTACTCCAACTGAACAATGTGTCGAGTCCTGGTCTCCACCACTGAGAATTCTATCACGCCCGGTAGGGCTAAGCGACAAACCCCTGCCATTACTTTTTGGACGACAAACATGCACACGGAATCGAGAACCGAAGGTGTGATCTTGGGGGAGGAGGGAGGATAGAATCGTGCAAAGTTGAAATGAGGTGAGATTTGAGAAAGTGTGGTCCGAGTTACGTTCGACTGTAAACGGGAGGACGGAGCTTGCACAGAGGGACGCAGTTAGAAAGGACGGTCAAAAGAACACGCTCACATTTGGCATGCCTCCGCGGGAGTAGATAGTCATGGGGCGGGCTAAGACGTCGACAGTATTATGGTAGGCACTTCCGCAGACCACAGCCACAAGGGAATCGGGGGCGAATTCCCGTCGGTTAAGATCTAGACTGGTGAAGAGGGGAACATTTTCAGGTCGGGAGAGGAAGGACGGCAGCCAACCGAGGGGTTTACCCTTCTGGGGATCCTGCAGACAGAAAAAGATGGAGATGGAGGCAGTCCGACATCCGCCAATGATGAACAAAGCGAATAAGATGACGAACAGGAAGGGGAGGTGGCAGTGGCAATGGTGGTGGAAGGGGGGGTGAAAGGAGGGGGGGCGACTTACAACACCGATCTCGCTCAAAATGTCGATATGATTGTGTGGCCAAAGGGGCCAGGGCATGGGCGAACGCGATACCGCTGGAATCTGCAGAAAAGGAGGATAAGCTCAGCTCTCAGACCCAAAATAACTAAACTAATCACAAATCTAAACTGGTCTATCCCGCCTGCAAGGCCATAGACCAACCCCCTACCAAGGACAGCCTATGAATAAGTCCAAGTCATTCGTATTTAGGTGGAAATTTGACCTGCGGTCTAACTGTTGAATCATGGGTTCGCACTTTTTTAAACCGCGAGGATACTAACCTGGGCCACAGGGCCGATCAGAACAAACGTTATCTGACCGGGGCAGCGCCAAAATAGTAAACACTATTTCCACTCACTGGGGACAAAACCAAGGGAACACTTCTGAAGAGGTCCGTGTGGAAAAGTTGTATAATGTTGGTGCATTGTGTGCTCGCCATAACCTTTGTCATGTCAAAGCCTAGCGCTTGAACTCTGTCGGACCTAGTTAAGAAAATGAAAGTATTTGTTTCAGTTACTCATTTTTACGACGACTTGGGTGGACTCTAGTAGCAAGAGATGCATATATTTCAACTATTCAAACATAAATAGCGTAACTAGATTTGCGGATTGATAGGCATATGGTGAACTTAACTATACCTTCCACTTTCTCAGGCAAGCCTCTTTGATGTCCTCTTGTCGATCATCGCTCAGCGTTGTCTCCTCTGCGCAAGTGAGAAGCTTCGATACGTACTCACACTGTTTTTTCGCCATCCTGAAAGATAAGAAAATAGCTCAGCTTCTAAGAGTAGGCTGACTAGTCGTGGTCAGACAAACGCTACCTGTGACACCTCTTTTGGAGTATTAATATGACACCAGAGGCGAGGTCATTGAGGAGCCAATAAATTCATCCTAATGTGTTAGTTCTACTGAAATTCTTTAAGTAAACATTAGTTCATATAAAACGCGTCAAAATCGACCGCGAAGATGGGCATGTAGCAAACGTGGCAGTCGGATTAGATATGGGGCGAGAGATTACTCCTCTATTTTGAGGCAGACAAGATGCTTCGGTGAAGAAAGTTCCACCATGATCCAGCACAAGCAAAAGGGACGTGTTCTGTTACAGTTAATATGGACAGCGAGTGTGGGAGTTCATCTATTCAGAGGAGGTATGACAGTAGACGGTGCCATCAACAGGAAAAAACAAAACAGGAAGTTCAGTTTCAGAAAATCTTGTTTCCGAGTCAAGGCAGAAGAAGGCTCGTGAGCAAATAAAGAAATAGGATTTGGCGACTCAATTTCAAGAACCCACGCGCTGCATGCTACGGAGCATGCGGAAGCTAGGGAGAAGGGAAACAAGTGGGATATGAGGCTCCCTAGATTCTATTCGAAAGATATGATGTGGCTGAAATGCCAGCCCCCGTGCTATGAACATGAGATCAATATCGTTAAATAAACACTTCGAAGTGCAAATCACATTCAAGAAATACATGTGACGCATACAGACACCGTTTCGGACTCACTCCTCGTTGGATGTTCTGAGGAAGTCCGTAAACAGCCTGTCTTCTTCAACAACCTCAGGGTGGCACAACCGCAAAACAGTACACGGTTTTTCCCCCCTCTCCTCATTCTCCAGTCTGCGAAGCTTCTCGTTGACGTCAAGAAGGTGCTGTATCAGAACGCCGACAGCCGACTCCGTGTCCACAGGACCGACGGTCTGCTCGTACTGGTTGGAGCTAGGTTTTGCGGGGAGGGACGCTTTTAATCGCCGGCCATGTCCAGGCAACTTGTGTTTTGGTTTAGTCGGGGAGGCAGTGGAGGATGGGATAAATTTCTGGCGCGGCGCTGGACTGTGTTCAACTGACGGTGGAGCTGCCGGACAGCCGGCCATGAAGGATGCTGTGGAAAGGAGCCCTTTACAGAGGAAGTACCTAGAGCCAGAAGACACCGATAAGGTGTAGTTTGCGGCGAACAAATAACTGCTTAGAAAGCGCAGAGCAGCTGGAAACTTACCTTGCAATTAATTTCCATATAAAGGGCTGCTTTGTGTAGAGATCTGGGAACCGCCCCACTTTATAGGGAAGCAAACGAAGTTTTTCTGAATACCGAGTTATAACAAGTCATTTTGCCTTCATTTTTTCAGGTTTTCATTCATTCCGTCGGCCGCAATGGCTCAACACGGTCGCATGCTGGGGCCCTTTTGACTTGTTGGGTCAACAGTTACCTCAAACGCCTAGCTCGGCACAGCAACAGGTAACATCCAACCATGATCATCTATGAGTTGCTGAACAGGAAAATCTCAAGCAGGTGGATTGGCTGCGGGTGTGTAAGTCATTAGCTGTGCAGAACGGATGACATTGCATTTCCTGATTTCCTTCTCTTGGAGTTTGCCAAAGATGGCGTCTACAACACCCGGATGACAGAAATTGACAGTCTGAAGGATGTAATCACTGTTGATGTAGAAAGGACTCGTGTGGAAATATCAGTGTTCGGACCATACCAAATCACTCTGTTGTATTCACCTCTAATATCAATAACGTTATTATCGTAGTAGATAAAACTTTAGGGGTTTTATGTGCCAAATTCCCTTGGTTCGTGAATCCATGTGTCAGATATCCAAGTTAAAATGGGAATTTTCAAACACCTTGCATAAAGAGAACAAAGTTGGTCTAGGTTGGGCCTTTGAGGTTACTTCGGTATCTACTTTGTTCATGGAATTGTGTATGGAAGAATTAGCCAAAAGATATGCGATTTAAAGGTTGGAGGAGGAGTTAACCGAAAGAAAATCGCAAATTTGTGGAAGGCAAACAGTTAGGTTTTCAACAGTAAGAATATGGAAAGTAGGGGTGACTTAAATTGTCCAGTCAGAAAAGTGGGAAAGTAGGGATTAACGAACCGTTCAGAATTGGCAGGCCTGCTAGTGACTGGTTTAATGAAGGCGATTTCACGGAAGACATGGCTCATCAGGCGGACGAGATCGGCACTAAATTCAGTTAAGACGTCGAACATTTTGGTGATAAAGTGACCGCCTAAAATTTTCAAACAAAGGTACAGGGCGGAACAGTGAGATATCTAGGCATTAGTACATAAATGTGGGATACATTTTAAAACTGATGTGTGTAGGATTGCGGAAGCAGCAGCGATTAGCCAACACTCATCACACACACAAACCGCTCCAAAACCCACTAACCAGCGACCAGCAATTTTCAATGTACATCCAAACAGAAAAGAATACCTGGATGAGGCTGAACATCAGGCAGCATAAGCTAAGTTAAGTCACAGAAGTCGACATGAAGGCTGCTGACTGAGAAATACCAGCGTCCAATAAAAAGGAAATAAGGAAAAATGCACCACAGGTAGTGATCAGTGATATTTCCAAAGAAAACACGCATAGGTTAATGGTCCAACGCATCTTAGGCGTGGTCCGTTCTAGGAGTAAACAGCCCTACCAATTCCGCTGGGATCGACCAGTAGTCCATCACATAGGACTGGCATGCAATGATCTGGCTCGATTGCAGAATAGTGTTATGACCCGCCTGGTACTTGAAATCCCGTGGAGCGTATACGCACTCGACCCTTGTCTCCAATGCCAACGCGGCAGAGAAGGAGAACGCGACCGGCCATGAAAATGTGTATTAGGAAATTGCAAGTCCAAATTAACTGGATGTAACGCATATTTATAACGCCCTACTGTGGTTCGCCGGCATTCGGCCCAATGCCCTTCGGGAAGAACATTCCAGACGAGCCGGTCGACAATTCGAATATGCAGATCGATCAGGCCCGAGGGAAAAAGCCAATGGAGAGGCACCACAATCAAGATGACAGCGCAGTAGAGAAAACGCACGTGGTCTCCAGTGATTGGCTGGCTCTTGTTTTTGGGAGTGTAGTCACTCCCAACAAATAGAAGTGGGCAGTCCTGTCCTGCCTTTGAGACAAAGGGTCCACAGCGCACGCAGGCGTTTACACAGCGATTTGCAAGCAATACTAGAGGTGTTAAGTACGAAGCATGGATTGATAAGCCTGACTGTCTTAAAGTATATTCGACAGCCTTAAAGTCTATGGTGGAAATGCGTTCACCGCTACGTCCTGGGGCACAATCTAGGGCCGGGACGGGCATGTTCTGTAACCTGATCGGTGAACGCACCTCCACCATAATTAATATTCTTGATCACAACCGACAGTACAGCGGGTTCCTACCTCAAGAGTGGCGCAGTGGACTTAATAACGCTCAATGACCAAAGGGTCCGGGTTCGAATCTCCAGTCTTGCAAGGTCTGGCATTGGGCAAGACAGACTGGGGGCGGTTAACAAGCCAGAAATAGCCACCCCATTGCTGGTACTCCTCCTCCTCCCACTTTCAAGTTTCCTGAGTTTCTGAGAATACTGCGAGTTGAGATAACAGCAACCTATGAGGCAGGAGTCTTGATTTTTCTGGGATGACGAGGCAGGTGAGTTGGTGCACCAGGGAAGATAAGTCAAATACAAATGGGGATGGGGAGCACATACCTGGACGAAGAACAGTCAACGCACAGAGGCACTGGCAGAGGTAGATTCTTTTAGACAGAACTTCCTGCAGATTCTCCTGGCCGGATACATCGAAACCCTTTGAAAAAGAGGCGCGAAGGGAGACGTTTATCACAACAAAAATGACCATAAAATCCCCAGCAAGACATCAGTTGTGAGAAATTGCATTACTTACCCCGTCAGCCATCACCACACTGACACCCTTGCCGTCAGTACACTTTCTGACAAAGTTTGCAAAAGAGTTCAAATTCGCCCAACTGGTGATGTCCCCGTTCTTGTCAGTACCGTAATGAGCCCAGAAGGCCTCCACCGGACCCGCGAGAAAACAGCTCAACTTAAAGTCACATTCGCCGATCAGAGTCATTCCGTAGCCACGCACCTTGATATCGGCACGGGCGAGTTTGACTTCTTGCCCACCGTTACTCTTTGTGGCATCTCCTGCCTCATTTGCCTCCGAGTCGGTTCTCGTCTCATCTGGCAGGGGTGGATTGCAACGACGCCAGAGCAGGTACTCCGAGAAGCCGCCCGGTCCAGCACAGACATCCGCGAAGTGCAAAACCTCCTGTGAGACATTCGAAGACAAAAAAATACAAACGCCATCAAAATACTTCCGCTACTTTACTTTTCGTTTAAAGATTTTTGCATGCAGGGAATTCCCAGCTTACATTTTGGCGAGTGGCTCTTGAAAAGAGGTAGCCCAGGAGATGGTCCATGTTGGCCATTTTCATGGCGGCTCTAACGAGAAAAGACCGTTAATGAGTCAGTATTCTTCGAGGATACGGCAGCTGAACTATCAGAAATGTGTTTTTGATTGGAAAGAATTGCTTTCATGGGGTTGTAATATTGACTAGCCTGCAGCATAATCCCAACATATTTTAGTCACGCTAGAATGCGGGCGTTTTTATGAGCTCAGGTGGCCTGCATAAGTCATACTCGAAATGAAATGCCCACTTAAGTAATGTGCACTTTATCCATCGATTTCTGTCTTATAAATTCAAATATATTTTATAGAAGACACATCAGAAGACATTATTTCCTGTACTCATTTAATAACAAATGGCGTCTTCTTCAAATATGATACTGAACTACGGGTACCCTTCGATTTAAAAAGTTTACTTTCAATTCACGAATGATTTTGAACCCGACCCCCGGTTGAGCTTTCGCTTAGAGTTTTCCAAACTACATGCTGTATACTACTTTTCGTATAAGGAAAATCACACATTTCTCTACGCTACTAAGAAGTTATATACGGCTCATAAAATTTCGCAATGAGTACGGACCACGTTTTATACTTCACAAGGATCATTAATAAACGGACAGATACGATGCCGAAAGGATGGGTACTTCACGGCCTGAAAAAGCCTAATGATAACAAGCATTTAAGACCCAAAGATACGCTTCTACCAAGTGTAAAATCTGAGGAAGACGTAATTTGCTGTCAAATGTGTACATGGAAAGACATTTCGGCGCATCTTTTCTACACAATACATTTAAATATATCAGAGCATCGAAAATCAGTGGTAAAAATTCATACAACTTGAGTATTCATTTTTGCCGAATGCGGTTTTAGTAGGTGACTGAAAATGAATGCATTCGAAAGCCGACATTCCGGCGTGCCTGAAATATTATGGGATTATGTCGCTCGATAATCAATACTACATCCTCACCTAAGTAATCCTTCTAATCGAAAAATCATTTCAGAACTTCAGTTAACATGTCATGAGACCGCTCACTGACTGTACCAAAAACATTAAATTACCACCAAGGGAGAACGGCGAGCACTCAGAGGCCCAATGGACAGTATCGCTCTGTCGACGGACAGAAGTGGCTTCATATTAGTGTTCAAAAACTGATCCCCAAAAATAAAGTAAAATCTAGCAAAACTCGCACCCACAGAAGCTCTCTACAAAGGTGACTGTTTTCTTAATGAAACACACTGACACGGTCGTAGGACTAGAGTGGATAGGTCAAACAACCCCTTGGAGCTAACAGCCTTTCTACGTCGCATCCAGACGTAGAGCTCGGTAGAATGGATGTTCGGTGGTTTTTAGGCTGATGACCGACGATTCGCCAACACCAGCAGCTCTCACGACTCAACTATCTGCATACTCTAAGGGCCTAACCAATGTTAAGGGCCTAACATTGGAGTCAAGGGAATAAGTGGAATGCCTCCACGTGGTTTCCCTATTCACATCAATTCCCCGACAAACTGTGATGGAATTCGTGGGCGAACTCCTGGCAGGGCGCCGCGGAAACCGGGATAATCTCCTTTAAGTTCGAAAATATCAAATCAAGGGCTCTCGATTGGGATTTCCACTTCTAGACTAGACATGTCAATGACACAGTTGAGCACCTCGAGGCAACACTGGACTCGGCAGACATCAGCACCCGATTCTCTGAGAGAGAGGGAACAGGAAACCTGAACGGAGCCTCCTGTGCACAGAGACTTCAAGTGGAGAACTGTACACGATATTGTTCAGAAAATCCACCAACACTGGATTCTAACGGTCGTCGAGAAAACACAGAGGGTTTGATGGCGATGGAATGGCAACCAAGTGACATCCAGACGATAATTACTTAGAGTCGCATATGTCTGAAGGTGAGGAGCCGAAAAAGAACAATTTCGAGGTTAAACGCCGGCCGTTAGCTTTCGGGTTAAAAAAATGTAATTGCTAATTTTTAATTTCCTCAGAAATTAACTGCTAACATGGAGTATATCATTTTAATGCTAAAATATACTACTGGCTGTGTGTCGGCAGCTAATGAATATTACGCGGCTGCTGGACTTCGGCCCAAATATTCATACATCAAATTTCGGTCTGCGCCTATAGATCCTACTATAAACTGATCTACTCCAAGTTAGCAGTTAAGTTCTGAGGAAATTTAAAAAGCAACAATTTCTAAACTAGGGTATCTACCAGAAAGCACACAGGGAATTCTGGGGGACCCACTGAAGAGCCGAACCCCTAGCAGCTGTACCACACGGTGGCAGAATATCGGCGAAACGCGCGTGTTTGGGCTTTTAGCTAGTATCTGTTCTGTTAGTATGGTATCTTCTAACGCTAAAAAAAACTACGATTAGTAAAATCCAGCCACTTTCATTGGATCCGACCGTCAATTTTGGCGTAATGCAGAGGATACCCAAAAAGCATGAAGAATGCAGATGCGATGAGATTCGTTACGCAAGAGAAAACCATATAACAGAAAAAGGAGTAAGTCGGATAACCTGTTCATAAATATGCCCTTTCGTATGTTCTCGAAGGGGTTCGAACGCATTCGAGCGTCGATCACTCGGTCACGCGAAATGGAGTCCAGTTCGTCCTGAAATTAACTGCATGCGTAAGTCTACTGTAGAATAAGGCCAGGCTGCGCATGATATCAAAGTATACGTAATAAAGGTTTTCAATGAGAAGGCCTTTAAGGAGTGCGACATGAGATTCCAGATAGGAAGCATATTCACCTTGTAATCAAAAAGTTCATGCAAGAGGACTTTAGAACAGTAGAGCGTTTGTGTTCGCATCTCGGAGACTGGCTCACCGAGAGCCTCAGACGAATTTGGATTCAGAAGTAGGTGTTGAATTGACTGCAGCGCTGAAGCAGTCAGTCCATCAACAGCTCCACACATCCGCTCTTTGGGGGTTGCCTGCAGGGCGTCCTCCACATCGCCATTAACGATAGGAGATGGATCACCCCAGCGCGACCAGATCCACAGGTGATCGTCGTCGACTTCAGGCGCTTCCATGTCTTTGTGCCAGGCGTTGGGGCCGTGATGAAAGTCGAACTTCGGTATTGCCAAATCTCGAGCCGAAGACGACTTGTTCATGCCCAAACCCCGCCTGTCCTTCTTCATCTCAATGGGCACAGCCTCTGTACGACCTTGAGAGTCAGCCCCGAGACCTTTTCCACTTTCGTAGCCCATGTGTCTCTACCACACATAAACAGAGATAGGAAAGATAGCGACGAACTGAGGACAAAAAGAGCAGCAATTTCACAATGAGTGCGGCGTACCATTAGTTTCCAGCCCATATTATCGACTGGCTCATTGTCCTATAACAGGGAAAAAGCGGGGTAAAAGGTCAATTTATTCAAATGGACAGCATGACGTTGGAATGCGGAAGGAGCCAGTAGTTTATTCACGTAAAACGAACTATCAAGCTGTCCTTCTCTGACTTATTTCCGCTTGTCCCAAGTGAATTCGGCACCAAATGCCGCTTCATTGGTTTTTGCGATCGTCAGTAGGCCTTTGGCTTTGGTAACATGAAAGTTTCACCCACCAGATATTGGGCTACCAGTGCAAACGGAAATGCGAGTCTCGGGAAACAGTCGAGGAGACAAGATCACTGGGAAAAAAGTTATTTGTCAGACTTGAGATTCGCTCTCGAACCCACTATAGGGGACAGTGATAGATAAATGTAGCGGACGCACCTGGGTCATCCACGTCCTGAGTATTCTCTCTGTTCCCTAAATGTAATTGCTTTGACTGCAAATTCAGCAGGTCCGGCCAACGAGCAGTGGGTCTTTCTACCTCTTTCACTTATCACCTGATGGTCGCGCACGGTCGAACACGCATCAGCAGTGCAGGGGAGTGACGCCATCAATCAAGCTGCGAGTCACTCCACGGGACCCAGCCACGACGAATTTGACGAGGCTCACACTCCTTCAACAAACGCAGCAATCTTCCCCCTCATTACTCAACTTTAATGTTTCGCCTGGACAGAGCAGTTGGTCACGCAGGGGCACTGCTTCTACTGACAGTACTGATGGATAGCATTATCGAATAATTATCGCACAAAACGTCAGAACAAATTATTAAATCGCAGCCATTAAGGGCTTGTGTGGGGACCACCCGGCGATTATAAGCGCACCCAGTAATAACATCTTGCGACGAATTAACGACGCTGCTACGGCTAGTAGATATGGTTGCATTTACCTTTGCGTGTTGCGGTCTCTGTCGATGGGCTCCAGAATTAATTGGAGAAGTCGAACGAAGTAAATTCTGATTCTGAGTTGCATTTCCAAATTTTGGACTCCAGCTCACAACGCTGCAATCACTAATTAGCCCTTCGGGGCGCATAGCCAACGAGAGGACACTTTGAGTAAAGTAGAAAGCGACAAACATACAAATTAGAGAGGCTGCCGATGCACTGCCAGAGTGGTGAGGGGCTGAAGTCCGTCCTCAGTCAGTCAGTACTGATCCCAAATTTGGCCGGAAATTCAAAAAATTGCTCGGGTACTCAGGTTAGGTTTTAAACCGACACCACGAGCGGGCACTATTGCTGGCTAAAATGCGCAACATCCTGATGTCATTGATGTGAAATTCTGTAAGTAAAAACGTTCCACAATTGCCGTCGATTAAGGCCGCCAAGGTGCTCGGAGTGAACTATACAATGAAACTTCATATGAATATAGTTGTCTGTAGCTCACGCTTTCACCTCCGCCCCTCCCATCCATTACGGGCAGTTGTGCGCGAGTACGGAAAGTGGCTGAATATGAGAGAAGACGGGAAGCTGGACGGACATCAAAGTAACAAAGTTATTACAGCGAAGCCTGCAAATCTTTATTAGCTCTTGTTCCAGTGACAGTGTCTCCTTCGCTGTCCCTTCTTGGAACCCATCTCTTCGTTTTTATCAGCAAAGTTGTGGTTAGTTGAGGTGGCAAAAGATCATTATTAGTTGTTTTAAGATGTTGCCCCAGGCAGAGTAACTGGTTGAATACAGGTCAGTAATCTTTTGAGTTGGACAGTTGGCGATAGAGCCACACTTCAACCACCTAAAAAAACTCGACGATGCAACTCCCCTCTTTGCTCGAACTAAGTTAGATCAAACAAAACTGGCTGAAAAAATGGACGTCAGGCGAGTATGCAAAGTGATCTATTAAATGGATAACATTGGGATGGTCGTGTATCCGGTGACTTTCAGGATACACGCCTAAAATCTTCGGTATGAATAAACTAATAAAGTCGGAAATCAGGAATTGACTATTTAAATGGAAATACAACGCACCGGCCACTTGCGTTTTTGTTCCATTTCGTTCACCAAGACCTAAAAGGCATCTTAGGCGTTAGCACCTGTCTGTTTCCACATAATGTGTCTTGGGAAGATTAGAAGTCTGGTTAAAAAAATACTATTTATTCCCTGGTTTGGGGACTTTGAAGGGTGAGTTGCATGTAGAACAGACAGGAGAGAAGGAGCAGAATACGGATAAGCAGACAGAGCAGACATAGGCCAAATCAACTAGCTGACGATGACAGAAACATGCGGCCCGAAAATCAACGCCATGCGAGGGCCCACTGTTCCTGGAGTCCGGCAGGATAAGCGAAGAACGCATATTAACCCTCGGCAAGAATACCGAGATGAGATACTGCAAGAGACCAGCAGGACGGGGAACCCGTAAGTAGATGCCCCCAGTTAGGTCAGCCGCCTGTTGGAGGAGACTGGAGTAGCTAAAGTCGTGAAGCACAGAGGTATGACGAAGGTCCTCTGGTGTCGAAGTGACAGTGGTCGGTGGAATAATACAGGCGTCAATGGGAACGCGGAGCTTTTGGGCGGTAAAAACTGAATTCATCAGAGGCAGGTACTGGGAGGCTGCATCTTCTGCGGCCCTAATAACTAAAATGCGTGCTCTCAGACTACCTCTCAGCAGGCCACTGAGCTCGTCTTCGAAATTTGGCGCGGCGTCTGACGAAATATTTGTCGGAAGAGCAACAGTAGGCCGGAGTTCACGACAACGGCGCATAAAGTAGCACAGAGCCTTTATAATGGCTCCAGAAAATGCAACGGTACAATTCAAAGATTCGCAGGATGACACTAGATCGTAGGCCCGTTGCCTGACTGTCTCCCCAAGTATTGCGAGTGCTTCGTACTGGCCATCATAAGTGGATCGGTCTTCGGCCTTCTTCAAAATTTTTGACGGCCACAAAAACTCCGTTTTTTCAGGCGTCACTCCGAGGATGGCGGTTTCATTTAGCGAAGACAGCATCAAGTGGACATTTACAAAGGCCAGAACAGCCTCGATGAAATTCGGTAAGAGAAATCCTTCGGGAGCGTAGGTACCCCACCAGACAGGGGTTAGGTCGACTGCAAGAACAAGGAGCTCGCTCGTTTCGGGAGAGTCTGAAAAGCTCCCTCGAATGTCTGTCATTGAGAATCAGCCAGCAAAGTCTAGAGTTAGTTGAATGAGGATGGATTCAAAGTCTTCAATCACAGCTTCACTCCTGCCGACTTTTTTCGCCTCGGATGCAGTCCGCGCGAGCGACTCTGGACGGAGTAATTTTTACAAAAAGAGTGGCAAACCTTCGATGAAAAGTTCGATGAGATCACTGCTAAGAGCAAGTGCCTCACTAGAAACTATAGACGTAAAGGGTCAATGAAAGAAGTCCCATTACTTCGTGTCTTTGACTCGGTAAAGAAGGTTTTCAACAACACCGCCAAGAGTTTATCCTGAAATTAGAAACCAACCATGAGCGTGACTGCGTAAATACTGGCCTCCATAGAGTGAGTAGAAAAATAACAGCGACAGAAAAGTTTTGTCTTATTCGTTTATATGGGACGGTGCTTAAAATGTCGAGTCTCTATCACGATTTTACGCAGTACAGTAAAGCGGCGGAGGGGCGTACAGGCTTAAGTACAGATTTAAATTTTAGGGGTAAACGTTTTGGTACTGTGTAACTATGTCAGAGAGAAAATGGAAATCCTCAGTACAATCACCATCCGAAAATTGGCAGAAAGGAGTGCAGTTTACACAACTTAAACCGACGTCGTCACGCAAACGCTCCAAAACACATACGAAAAGGAATATGAAAGGCGTAAAAGTACTGTTACAAAACAAACAGCATTCGAAAAACAATGGTAGGCTGACAGGGAGAAGTCATCCATCGCGGGTAATGGCTGTCAGCATGAATTAGACTACACTCAGTACCTTAGATTCGGTTGTTACCAAGCACACGGCGCAATAACGATATTCACACCCGAATTTATGCTTTCAAACGTATCCATGGACGCGTTACGATATCACAACTGCCGAAACGTCCAGTCTCTATCGGGCGCCTGTCCAGTAAGTTCCTATGAACAGATATGGATTCCGGTCTCTGAACCCAAAACAAAAACTGGAGATTCTTGACCATCGTTGTCTGATGAAAGCCTGCAGCTATTACAAAAGCACAAAAGGGGATATTTCAGGCTACTCGAGGAGAATGGCTGGGGTAGCTTGAACGCACTTTTCACTTCCGCCGCATGAGCTACGTACTTCCATCCTAATTCAGTTCAAAGTCTGACTAAACACCGTCCGTCCCTAATTGGAGATTATTCTTGAACCCTCAATATTCGGTTTTCGTTGGGAGAGAGCGAGAGAGAGGGGGGAGGGAGAATGGATCGAGCTCTACAGATATACTATCGCTGCTCATGTCGGGTAGGTAAACGCTATCGTCAAAATCATAAAGACGGACTAGACTTAAGGAGTACATGTAAGGGCTAGTCTGCCTTATGTCATTTCCAGGCATGCAGCGGACGCTGTGCTTGTCTCTAAATAATTTGTGGTTCACAGAGCCAACAGCACCTCTAAAATCGGGAAATTAAGCCTTTGTACTGTCACTGCTATTAAACCACTTCCCCGGGATTTCCACAATAGTTAGGTTCGTGAGGCACCATCTTCATTTGGCAAATCCCTGGTGGTTGGGGGCAAGATGTTTTCATCTTAAAAAGCATAACGACGATCACGTAGGACGCGTTTCATGATTTGCAAATACTCGCGAGGGGGACTGGGTGAAAAATGTTTCGATTGACGCCTGGTTACGGAAGTGACAAGAAGCCGGCACCAACTAGTAGTGAACTTCCACAGCGGCTGGGGTTGCATAGGCCACTTAAGGTGTAGCTGTCACTGGGGTGGAGAGTTTTAAACGATTGCGGACAGATGATCTGGTTCTCGGTCTTTTCTGGTAGAGGCGGGATAAATTAAGCATTGCCTTTGAGAACACCATAGTCTGCCCCTACATACAGTTGGCAAATCTGTGGTGAAGGGACACTGCACACTTATCCATCCGAATAAAGATTGAACAGGATGAAAAACTAGTGCGTTTGCTCCCGTATAGTCTTATGTGTTGTGCCGTAATTACCATATTACGGTTCTTCGCTAGTCAACAGATATAGATAAAGTACTTCTGGTTCTATTAAGGGTGGACTGACTTGATATTTGCTGGCGAAAGGTCCGGTTTAGTAAAGTCAGAGAACCTTGCCCCCAACCCTCTTGCCTGCTGGAAATTTTCGTGCGCCCCGTAACTGCAATAAGCATACCGGAGTTTCTTCTGTCTGAGGATGCTATGTTTGATTCAGATGCTGATCGATGGACAACCGGAGCTTTGAGTACGTGCTATAGCACTTCAGTAGGTACGCCAGAAAGCACCTTTTGATGATTAGCCACACAAAATCTATGTTCGAGACGTCATTGCAGTTTACACTAGCTTAGTACGTCTGGGAAGTCATCCTCAACAATGTTTTCGGGCTCATTCCCAGACATAACTTGATCGCAGAGATCGCTTGGGTAACCTTAATATGCTCTACAGTTGTCTAACGCAAATATTTTCGACGTAGAAAAAAAGAATAGCAAGTGTACGCCTCAAGTATTCACGGAACAAACGGCATTAATAGGTAACCAGAGCAAAAAAACAATTGTTCTCATAAGACGACCCCATATACGTGCGTACGGCATCCGTAATGACGCTCAAAGTTGCGGCGTAGGTAAACAAAACTAACTTCTATGGGTGAATAAAATTGTGCTCCATATGCGCTCAGAGAATATACGGGAAATCTGGCTACGCATTATCTTATGATACGAACATCGCCTACGCCATACCTTACAAAGCTGCCCTATCCTGCACCCCATCGAGTTTGCCATTACACATCGAAGTTCAAGTGCAAAAGGTGTAGTGTTCTAGCATAATCCCAGATTCGTATGGGCCCCTTCAAGACAAAAAGCTTTCGAATGCTTATTATTGACATATTCTTAAAGAACTTGATGACGGATAAGAAGCAGAACGGGGGGACGGTTGCAGACACTTAGACGTCATGGGCATCACACAAAAAGAGCATAATACACCACAGAGAAAAATTCCAGCCAGCTAATTGTTGCGTAAAAGATGCCAGTTTCGATCCACAGCTAGAAAAATAAGAATTTTTTTCATTCTCCGACGTAAATGGGACATTGATGGGCTTAAGACTCGGGAGGTGAGTATTATGTCTTGCGACCAGAGGTCTAACTGTACTGGGACGTGGGTAGACGACCACATTTTCTTGGGTTACATTTCTTCGAGTGCTCTGATGAAAAGTGCATGTCTATGTTCGACTACCTTCCCATATGGTCACTGTAGTGCTAGTTTCGTGTTGTTTTGTATCCAAAAATCGAGATCCTTTTGCGAATGTTTTTCTGTGGGAAGAGTAATGGCTTTGGGATGATATGCTCCATGTTGTAATCGTAATGACTGTTGGTTGGACGCAGATAAAAGACGGCACACTTCTATACATTTAAATGCAAAAGCCGCTTTTCGGACCTCATTTGCAGTTGGTGCAGTTTATTCTGAAGGGCTTTCTGGTCATTCGGACCCTTAATGAATTGCTAGACCTTACCGTCGTCCGTAAACATCGTTTTACCGCAGTCGAGTTCTTTAAGGCTGTCATTAACATACGTGATGAAGGATAAGGGTCCGAGAACTAATCCTTAATGCACACCACTAGTCACGTTCATCCGGCCAGACATATCATCTCCGATACATACACTCTTTTTGACCAACCAAGAACGCACTTCTCCAGCTCAGATGATCTCTTTGGATGCCGAGGAACGTCGTCCGTTCACGCATAGGCCTCAGCCCGCCAACTGACTCGAGTTAGTGACCTCCGATGAAGTTGTGATACTAAAAGTTCTTAGCCATCCTGTTGCTAGATTGTGATCAGATATCTTGGTATTTCTTAACATTTATGCGTAGGGGTCATTCATCCCATCATTGTTGCAAGCAATCCAAGTTATTTCGCAATTACAGCGCCTCTTCTGGTTTTTCAGTTGATTCGCACAAATTGAAATCATCGGAAACTTTGCCCTCGCACACTTCAGATAATCTGTGCAGTCGTTCACGTATATTAAAACGGCATAGGACCCAGAACATTCCCCAGCGGAACGCCACTCTGAAGGCTTGTCCACTTCAATTTGGTGTTACCAGTAAAAGCACGCTCAGATCAGCATGTGAAAAGTCAGCTAACTATTTCAGTAAGTTTACACCCACACTCGCTTGACGTCGTTTAGATTTTTATCGATTGTGCGTACTAACTTCATTTATTATATGCATACTTTTGACGAAAGAAAATGTACTGCTGTACCTAGATTGTGTCCTAGCTCTTAAGGTGAGCTGATTTTATTTTTGGCTTGTTTTAATATAAAAACCAATCACAATCTGGAGATGTTTTCTTCCGTTTAATCGGGGTGGCTGGCATCTAGTAACTTCGCATCTCTTCGGCGTCATATCTTGGAGAACGGGAACGCCGTAAGACCACAGGGGACAGCCGACCTGAAGAGGGCTATGGCGGCTCGAGAGTTGAGGCGAGAGTTCATGACAGTAAAACACTCCAAAAAAATCTTCAAAAAGACAAAATCACTTGCGCAAAACAGTTCTCGCACCCATTTCATACGTTTGGTTGGGTGTTAGGTATCTTGACACGTGGCAGTTCGACCGTTCTTTCCAACGACATCCACCGTGTGTCCCACAACAGGGTGGGTGTAAGGACGGTTACTCGCGCGTGAATTAGCTCATAGTGATAGCCGACTTACGCAATAATTACCGCACTCTCCCCTCCTCTTCCATCTGGACTCGGTGTCATGGCAGAGTCAATATAATCGGTAGCGAGAAAGGATGCAGGTGAGTGGGGTGGGGTGTAAGAGTGCCATAGAGGCCAAATTAAGGGGTCATTGCAGTCTGAATCTCAGTGAAGCAGTCGGCA